GGAAGGCTTTCCTCATGGACAGGCAGAAGAGATCCCCATCTTCCAAACACCAGCACTGCAACAGCATCTGGTAGGGAGCAATGTGCCTGGCAGCAATGCTACCAAACAAACAGCCAGGAAAAGAGAAGGACAGATGGACAAGAGGGATCCCGGTCACAAAGCTTGCTTTGAAGCAGCAGTGACAGCTCCAGCTCGGAAACCTCCCAGCATGTGACCTTTAGCCACCGCTGACTCCCTCCTTCCCGCTGCCACCTCCTGTCACCCGCTCCCCATGCTGCCACAGCCCGCCTGCGTGCCTGGCAGCCCGTGCTTTCTGCCAGCATCCTCCCTTCTCACATACTCCTGCTTTTGCCCCTCCACACCCTTGCACCTGGGCGAGCAGGGCCAGACAGGGGGGCTCTGCTGCTGCGTGCAGCTGGCGAGGAGCACGGGCAAGAGCAACGCCACAAACTGGGCAGCAAGTGCTTTCCCAGGCTGTGCCTGGCCTGCGCCCGTCCGGCTGGGGAAACACAGCGAGTGCAGCTGATTAATGAAACGCCAGTGGAGGAAGGCATTGCCATCCATCAGGAAAAGCTTTTTTACCAGGAGGCCAGCACAGCACAGGAGCAGGTGGTGGGATCTCCGTCGGTGATGGCTCTGCGGCCTCAGCTGTGCAAATCCAGTGATGTGAACTAGCCTCGCTCACAGCAGGCGCTGGGCTACAGACCTCCAGCACCTCCCACCAACACTCCTGCTGTCTCCTGGGCAGGAAGCAGTGTAGAGCCTCCTTTTTTCTCTAACTTCTCTTGCTTAGGATACTTGCTGGAGTAAAGGATTCTTATTGATGCAGAAGATGCCCGGGGCAAAGGGCCAACCTATTCTAGTTACTCCTGCAGCAGCCCAGAAACTAGAGACAATCCTGCTACCCAGGGGACCACAGCACTCCTCCTCTGGGCCTCAATCTCACTGCAGCACAACAGCTCCTTCTCCTCATCTTCCCCTCTCGGTTCACCTAAAACCTGGCACTTCTCCAGAGCCTCTGACTGCTCCTGCCCCCACTTTATCAGCTCAGGGTCAACAGTGGCACGGCTGGGCCACGGCTGCTGACATGCTGAGCTGCTCGTGAAATCATACCTGTAGCCAAAGTGAAAAGAGACACTTACTCACAAACATGGTGGTATTTGTCTTACTTCCACAGATTTTTAAGGCCAAGAAAGAAGCACTGCATTTTCTGACCCCGTGCAAAACAGAGCAAATTCCTGTAGTTCAGATCAGATACTTGTGTGGGACTTTATCTCTAATTGCAAACAGCACAGTAAAAAGAGATTAAGCCTCTACCACTATCCTCCTTGGGCAAATCAAGGTTCCCCAGGTTCCCCAGGTGGCAACCCCCTATTAAAATCACCTGTCTTCTTTGCATTTGCCCAGCTTAACATGCATTACCAGGCTGAGATGCTCCTCCTCTCCCAGATCTCAGAAGCTCTTGGTAGCTAACACATCCACCTTGGTGTGTCTGTACCCCATCTCCCTGCTCCCTTTTCCCTCCAAGTGCCTCAGTGGTACCTTCTCCCTTGTACAACACTGCTGAAATATTTCTCTGTAAACTCTCCAAGCCTTCAAACTTCCAATATTCTTCACTTAAACTGGCCCATAAAATTGCTTCTATCCACAAACAGGGGGAGGTGTTGCAGTGAACACACAACTTTTGGACCCAGCAAAGTCACCAACCCAGTCAGCTGCCAGGATTTGGGTGCAAAAGTGGGGAAGTCGGTGCAGAGGAGCAGCTCCACTACCAGCAGCTGGGTGATGGCCACACTTAACAACACACAAAAACGCTCCTGTCTAACAGCAAAGGAGGGAATGGATTTTCTTCTAAAAATACACAAACACCAGTCCAGGAGGGAGTTTTGGAGCCAGGTCTTCATGAGAAGGCAGTTCTAGGAAATGCTAGACCTAGCTGACCTCACCTTCTCAGCAGTTCCTGACTGGCTCCATCAGGCAGGTGGGACTTGCAGACATCCTCCTCAGGGATGGACAGCCTGGGGGAGCAAGACCCACTGACGGGACTTTGGCCATTTGTGGATTCAGCCCCCACAGAAGTGTCCGTATCTCTGGGCGTTAAGTGCAATGTAGTGAGTGCACGAAGATCCAAATTTCATACCCAAGTCCCTGAAATCTGCAGGGCAGGATTTCAGCCCCTTCTCCAGGATACAGCCAGACATGAGGAAATGCAACCAGAGACAGCATGCCTGGCCCAGAACAGACATTACAGCACATGACATCACTGGAGTCAGTGGCTGACCCCCGTTGCTGCTGGAGTCCCTTCTCTTTCCATTACACACTCTTGTCTCCAGCAGTCTTCATTTTCCTTCCTGCACCACCCCAAGGGTGCAGCAGTGCAGAGGGGAGCTGGCAGCGCTCTGGAGCCTGCAGGGCAGGAGCTGCCAGCTGGCTGTCTTCATTGTGCCTTGATAAGACTTCTCCAAGAGACTCCCAGTTTGGGGAGAAGGACTGCACGCGGCGCAGTGGAACAGATATCATCACGACTTCTCTCAACAAGCTTTTAATCTGTGACAGCATTTTTACCCCTCAGATCTGCTTTCAATCCTTGCTCTGCCTCAGTTCTTGCTTTGCTGTGTCTCAGCTCTCACAAGCCACGTTATCAGCAGCTCTCAGATATTAAAACACATTAAAGGAAGGTACTGAAAGATGATCCAGCAGTCACATTTTCCAGAAATCTCAGCTTTCAGGTAACAAAAGATTCCCAGGGTAAGAAGGCAGCTGCAAGCACAAGCCCAATGTGACCACAGCCTCATACCAGCATGCAGAGGAAATCACCAAGCTTTGTCCCCAGCTGCTGCATCCCCAATTCTGCCTCTGAAGCTTGATGGCTGCATTTCAATGTCACACTCAACATTATCTCTCTGAGTAGCGATAACTGCAATGGCTGAAATCAAGAGTGCCAGATCAAACCACCAAAAAGAGAAGAAAATTTCTCCCATCTCTTCCCAGCTATAACAAAAGGTTTGCAGGCATGCCAAGTGATTGGAACAATGCTCAGCAAGAGAGAAGTTTTATTGACACAGATAAAGCAGCAGCTATTCCTGCATTTCAGGGCTGAAATTCCATCATAATTTGGACATTGCTGGAAACCAGACAGTTACCCTGGGATCCCAACCAGGAAAAATCTATCCCTGCTGTTGGGGTTATCAGGATAAACTGCTTCTCAAGCTGAGGCTGCACACTTACATGGTTACCTCAGCAGGCAGCAGCAACAACATGGGACAGATCAGCATCGCTCCCAAAAGGACAGGCCCAGGGCTCAAAGAGGCTCTTGCTGCTTCTTTCACCAAAATTTAGGATGTATTTGTCGTCTCTGAACATTTCCCAGTTTTAGTCTTTATGCAGATGGGAGGTACTAGAAATGCAGTATTGAAGCAGTAATTCCTCCCACTTGGGTGCTATTGCATTTATTTAACTATCCTGAAAGACACTGAAAATCTTCCCTTGGGTCCTCTGTATCCAACAATCCAGACCTCACCACACAAGCCCAAAGTGAGACAGTTGCATTCAGAGGCTGCTCCCTGACCTAATTCACTGGGGAAGCGTGGGGAAAAGGTTAATTTTAAACTATGAAGATATTTGTTTAATGTCTATTCAACACAAAATTATAAAGCCAGCCCTCCTGCACCTTCCCCATTCCAAACAGGGTTACAGTAAATAAAACACAGAGATAGATAAGCTCTAAAAAGCAGAAGATAACAAGGTCTGTAACAAAGACCAGGACTCCTGAGGCACTGAGACTGAATCATTACAGGAACCACTCAAGTGCAACGTTGGAGAGCTTCAGCCAGAAACTTGACAGCTGATAAAAAAGCAGCATTATCATGGACTTGGTGGGAAAGAGCAGATCTGTGATGGGATGTTTGAGGGTAACTGCAGGACAGTGTAAATTTTATCACGCAATGTTTTAAGGAAGATTATGGGAGCAAAACTTACTATGGGATGTTGAGGGGCAGGATCAAAGGAGGCAAAAGGGAGGCATCAGGCTTAAATCAGGGAGAACTGGGCATGGGAAATGGAGAGAGGGATAAACAGGAGCCAGTTACACAGAGATAGGCTGCTGGTCAGTGTGGCTGGGCCCTGCTCCCAGTTACCACCATCTGTCCTGGCCTTGCATTAAGCTAATCCCAGCCGTTCTCCCTGCACGCATGCACGCTGCTGGCCCTTAGCTAACTGCAAGCTGGGCTAGGCTGCATGCAGGAAAGGTCTGAGAGCCAGGCAGCAGACAGACCACAAGCCTGAGGACCAGCTGCCAGTGACCCACCAAAGTGTGGGAAGGCAATCTACCAGCATAGTCCAGGTTTGACAGGCCAGGGAGCAAGAACAGGATTAGGATTTTATTTTTTTCATGTTTTCTAAGTGCTGTTTTGTGTCTCCCTGGGCACCCATCACAGCAGGTTCCCTCAGTTTCTGCTGATCACTCTTGTGCCTGGTGGCATGGATGAGTGGGAAAGCTGGAGCCTCACATGGAACAGACCAGGACATTTAAATAGGAACAGTCCAGACCACTGCTTGCTATGTATTGAGGAGAAGCAGCTGCATCTGGGTGAACGTGAAGGCAAAAAGAACTTCACTGTATACAGCCCCACAAACCAAAAACAATCCCTGCTCAAGTCTGGGAGGCCAAGAACTGAGACACTGCTGGGGAGCAGAAAAATGGTGAAATGGGGACAGTCACAAGAGTGAACTAAGTGACAACAGGGAACTAGGGAACCACTGGGCTAGAGCCTTGCCCAGACAAAGCACTCAGCTGACAGCTCCACACAATACAGCCTTCATGCAGGCAGCAAGGATTTCAGCTCCCACTGCTTCTTCACAAACATCCCCGTTGTAAGGAATATGGACAGACACCAGAAATGCCAGAGCATCAGCTCGGAGTAAGAGGGGTTTCTGCTGCAAAGGAATAAGGGGACACAGCAGAATCCTGCATTTTGTGTTCCAAGGAAAAAGAACAAGACTTGAGCAAGAGTATAAAACTTTTAATGGGTCAGTGCATCAGTCCTTGATGCAAAGGGAAAGGAGCAAAGGGGGCTGCCATTGTCCCAGGTGCTCAGAGCTGCAGAGACGATCTGCACAGAGCTGCAAAGTGGGGGTACACACAGAGCTACAGCAGCCTTTGCTCTCCAAGGAAGGGATCAACACGTGGAAAAGCACTTCCACTCACTGTCCATTCGCTTTCACTCTATGTTTCTTCTTCCTGGTAGGGACTTTAGGCCGCATCATTTTGGGAGAAGGCCGGACAGCCTTCAAGGGTCTCCTCTGTGCTTGCAATGAACGTTTCTTCTTCAGAGCAGGTTGGGGCAGCTTCTGCTCTTTGTCAGCTTTTGATCCCTCAAGTTTCTTCTTTTTTGGCGGAGGCTCCGTGATGGTATCAGGGATGGCGGACGGAGCTGCCGCTTCCTCAGCGGGCTCTGGATCTGAACCGAGAGAAAGGCGCTGTGATAAGAAGCCAGGTGGCTTCTAGAGGGGGAGCAGCCTGTGAGGGCAGGCCCAGGCAGCTGAGCTGAGCTCCAGCACCACGTTACCTTTCTGTGCCTGCGGGATGGCATTGGAGAACTTCTTGAACTTGGCGATGAAGAACCCGTCCATATTGTGCGTGTGGGGGTAGAAACGCCGCGTAGACTTGAGGGACGGGTGGAAGCGGCGTTCCTTGAACCTGGAGGAGGAAGTGGGGTGAGCAGCGATAGAACACCTCTGCTCAAACCTGGCCACCAAGCAGCAGTCACGTGTGCGACTTGTGACCTGGCACACACCTGGTGAAGCCTTCCTTGCCAAAGTCCAGGCCTGTGGGCACCAAGCGGACGTTGCGTTTCTTCAGGGCATAATCCACAACCCACTCGTTCTCCTCCACCTGCCAGAGGCTAAGCGTTAGGATCCAAAACTCACCATCTCCTGAAGAGGAGGTGACCACAGCAGCTCGTGGTAGAAGGCACTTACCATGATGGAGCAAGTGCAGTAGACAATGTAGCCCCCTGTCTCGGAGGCAGCATTGACTGAATCTATGGCACTAAGAATCAGCTCCTTCTGCAGGTGGGCACAACGCAGGATATCTGTCTCATCCTGAGAGAGAGAGAAAAGTTGGGATGCCACAGGCATCCCAGGGAAGCACCCCAGGCCTCTGCTGTGGATGAAGGAATGACAGGAGAGAAAAGCATTTATAATATACAAGAGTCTGGACTCTTCTGCAGAAGGAATCTCAAAAACTAGCCCTGGTACTACACACAGAATAAGAAAGAAAAGGAAAAATGTATTATAGGTATCTCTCAAGAACACAGCTGCCCCAAAGGCCTTCCTCCCATGACTCATACTTGAGTCTGCTCTGGTCACCCACCTTGTTGGTTTTGACAGCAGGATCCTTGGAAATGACACCTGTTCCGCTACAAGGAGCATCAAGCAAGACACGGTCAAACCCTCCGAGAACCTACAGGCAGATGTGTAGATTTGGAATTACACTCATGGGTGGGGACTCAAAACAAGGCCAAGACTAAAAGGGGAACCAGAAAACCAGGAAGACAGGAAACACTCCTTCTCCTTCCTCCCTGTCCACTTCCCACCTCTCTATCAAACACTCCCCAGCAGCTCTGCTCATCCTCCTGTGACAGGTGACTTTGGAGAACACAGCTTCACTAAAGGGATAGCACAGCAGCTCTGGGCAAGCACTGTGACCAGGAACATACCTTGGGGAACTGCCGTCCATCGCAGTTACTCACGACAGCATTGGTGACTCCCAGGCGGTGCAAATTCCCTACCACGCTACGCAGCCGCTCGGCACTGCTGTCATTAGCCAGGATCATCCCTGTGTTCTTCATAAGCTGAGCTGCCAGAGGGCAAAACACACCAGCAAGGGGCTGAAAACCTCTTGTACTTTTGTCTCCAGTTACAGCCACCCGCTCCTTTCCTCAAGTTCAGCCCCCCTCTATTCCCCCTTTCTGTGTAGACCAGTGTAAACTCCTCCCTTGCCAGAGCATCCCTCCCAAGGCTCCAGGGCAGTACCTATGTAGCTGGTCTTGCCTCCTGGGGCACAGCACATATCCAGGATGCGCTCATTCTCCTGTGGAGCCAGCGCCATCACAGGGAGAAGACTGGAGGCTCCCTGCAGCATGTAGTGTCCAGCCAGATACTCTGGGGTGGCACCTGGGCAGGGAAGGCAGAACAGAAGAAGATGACACGTGAAAGAGAGGGAAGCAGGAGCAGGTGAGCTCAGCCCTGTCTGGTAAAGGTGATCTCACCAATGGGCACAGTGGAGTCATAAATAACAAGTCCCGTTTTCGACCACTTCCCCAGGGGGTCAAGATTCACACCACGGTTGATTAGAGCCTGCAAGGCAAGGAGAAGGGACTGAGGTGCTGCTCCATGGGACAGGCAGTTCAGGACACAGCCTCTGGTTCCTGCTCACCTGTGCCAGGTCCCGCCGCCGCGTCTTCAGTGTGTTGGTGCGAATGGTGACAGGGCGGGGAACCTCGTTAGCCTCCAGGAAGTTTATCAGCTGGATGGAGGAAGGGACAGAGAACAGAGATAAAAATGAATTCTCAGGGAGGCAGTCAAACCCCCATCAGTCAGCAGAGCTCCGGGCAGGGCAGGCTCCCACCTCAGGGAGCGGGAAGATGTCCATGAGCTTGGAGAGCAGGAAGTCGCTGTAGGAGTAGTAGGCGGCCATGTCCCGGCGCAGCAGGGCGAGGTATTCCTGCCGGGAGCGCCCCTCCTCCCGCTTCACCCCAAAGTCCTGCAGCACCTCCACATTGCCCTGGATGCGCTGGTGAATGACGTGCAGGTCAGGTGGCTCAGCAGGTGGGAACACCGTCAAGGAATCACCAACAGCCAAGGAACTCACACAGGGGCACTTTACAAGTACAATCAGCCCTGCTGGACAACAGTGCCTGCACCAGAATGGCCCTGCTGGAACACTGCTTCCATTAGAGCTCAGCAGATGCAGGATTCAAGGAATAAAACTGGACAAAAAAGTTCACAAGGCAGAACTGGAGGGTGTTTCAAAGAATTACATTATATAAACAGAAAAAAAAACAGAAAAAAAAAAAAAAAAGGAAGCCAAACAAAAGAAGTGCTTCAATACTGAAAGCATTACCTGCAGCAGAAAAGAGACTAGAAGTTCCCCAAGGGCAACCAAGGGGGACAGAGGAGAGCAAGAAGGGAGGCAGGAAATTAAAATCACCAAAGTCCAGCAGCAAGCACTTTGGATGCTAGAATTGCTGTCATCAGAAACTCTGGGAATGGGTTACACAAACACCCACCAGGAAAATCAGGGTAGAGAGGAACAAACCACATCATAAGACATCCATATGTATTTAGGACTAAAAAGGAAATTAGGGCAGGTTCCAAGCACCATGCAGGGCGTCACAGATTTCCTAACTGTGCTATACAGAAGCACAGCATAATACACTATCTATTAGGACAGCTCAGCTAAAAATACCTTGTCATGCAGACACTTTTGCTAAGCAATATGCATGATAAAGTCCAAGTGAAGCTCTTTGGTTGTATCCTGGCCCCGCGCTGCATCACGCACAAGGCTTGTGGATGTCACAGATAAAAAGGATATTCTCCTTCTCAATCTCTTCACTAGTTGGCAGTTTAAACTGTTCATCTATATCCAGGTTGAGCTGCAGATCTGGGCCCTCTTCTTCCTTCTGTCCCATTTTCTGCTTGCTTGCCTCCTCTGCTTCCTCTTCCTCCTCTTCTTCCTCCTCACTGTCATCTTCACTGAGGCCTTCCCTAAGGACAAAGAACAGGATCACACAGACACTTCTCAACTACCATTTCTAAGATGGCAGAAAGAACAATAACACCACAGGCTCCTCATCTATCCAGGGAAGTCTCTACACACTCACCTGTCAGGCTTCTGCTTCAGGGCAGCTTTCTCAATAGGCAGCAGCTAAACAGAGACAAAAAGTTAATCAAAAAGCATCCACAGTCATCCCCTTATTTCCCACCATCTGTGAAATTTACTTGCTCTGTCTAAAAGGGACGAAAAACAAAAGCACTGAATGTTAGGCTGGAATCAGCTGCTAAACTTGAAATTATTCTTGTGAAGGAAAGAAGGGGGGAAAGTTCTCTACCACCTCACCAGTCCCCCTGGCCTAAAGCCATCCCTTCCCCCCAGGCCCGAGAGGTCCTTTCAGCCAGCAACACCAAGTATTCCTTGTGTAATTAAGAGCAGGAAGTTCCTACCTCTTCTTCCTCTGATGAGGAGGCACCATAATCATCCACCATCTCCTCACTGCTCCCATCCTCCTCCTCCTCCATCTCCCAGCTGCTCTCTTCCACCTCACCATCACTGGATAATTCCACATGGTTTCCTTTAGGTTGGGTTTTCTTGGCTTTGGCTGGAGTCAGCCACTTGGAATTGCCATCACTGAAGCCAGAGCGGCCACGGGCAGTTTGTCCTGTTGCCTTTACACGTTTTTCCTTCTGTGGGGACAGCTGCTCTTCAACTAGAGGCAGAAGAAGTGGTTCAAAGTTAGGCATTATCTCCAAAATCAGCTGCTCTGCTTTTTCAGTTGTTACACAAAAAGGCCTCAGTCTGAGTCCTGAGCTGCTTGTCTAGAGGGAGGGACTGCTCTCTATGAGTACATCTCATGAAGTACTGGGCATATTCTCACCTCTCCTGCAATGGACCTTTCAGGAGATCTAACTAGAATTATCGAATCAAAACACTACCACAAAGTTCTTATTGTATTTGCTCTGGCATGTTACGATACCCTCTGCCCCAAATCTTTGTCTATCCTTCCTTCTTTCTACTTCAAGAGTTTCCTGGGCCACACAAGATTTAAAACAAAGATTTAAAAGCCTCAGTTATAAAAGCAGCCTGCAACAACCTTGCTGTGAACGGAAGATAAGTAAAAAATGGAGTTAATACGCAGAAGAGAGACCTTTGAGTAGTTCTTCAGACAACACTGCCTCCTGGCACAGCAGACACAAGAAATCAGATAGAATTCATTGTTATTATCTATTAGAGAGAACCCAAAAGAGGGTCAGGATGATGAAGAGTCTGGAGGGGAAGCCTTGTGAGGAGCAGAGGAGGGGCAGGCACTGATCTCTTCTCTGTGGTGACCAGGATCCGAGGGAATGGTAATCAAAGTTGTGTCAGGGGAGGTTTAGGTTGGGTATCAGGAAAAGGTTCTTCACCAGAGGGTGGGCTGGGCTCTGGAACAAGTTTCCAAGGAAGTGATCACAGCACCAAGTCCGTCTGAGTTCAAGAAGTGTTTGGACAACACTTTCAGGAATACGGTGGGACTTTTGGGGTGGTCCTGTGCAGAGCCAGGAGCTGGACTCACTTTTCCCTGTGGGTCCCTTCCAACTCAGGATCCTCTAGGATCCTGTACCTTCAAATAACGAAATCCCACCTGTCCCTTGCCTTGAAAACGACGCCAGAGAAGAGGGGTGGCGGCAGCGCCCAGGGAGAAGCGGGACGGGGGCCGGCCGGTCCGTCAGCCCGGTTCGGACCCGCTCTCACTCACCTGTCGGCTCCCGCTCTCCTCCTCCTCCTCCTCGCGGCCTCCTCCCCGCCGGGCCTCCGCCCGCTCCCAGCCGCCGCTTCGCAGCCCTGCATCGGGAGGGAAGCGGCCATCAGCGCCGGCCCGGCCC